GGGGTTTCTTTTTCCATTTGCGTAGATGGCAATAGAACAGGACATTTTTCGTTTAAAGGTAAATGTAAGAATTGCGAGTCACATGCGGGAGACGCTCGTGGTATATAAGCGCATCGTCGTATGTGTTTCACCGCTGAAGAGGGATTGCGTCTTGCCTTTTTTTTTTCTTCTTTTTTCTTATTTTTACGTTGGTTCGCGCTTTGGGGGGGATTTTTTTTTTTTTTTTGCTGCTTTAACTGTTCAGTCGGGGTTGACTGTGTAACGCATAAGTGCGACTGACAGGAGAAGGCGGTAACGCTATAGGGAGTTGCTTCTTACAAAATAAGGCAACAGACTGTGACACTGTACTCTTTGTGCATATCTACATTGGAGCAGTTCACAGTGCCTTTGCAGGGGATATGGGGTTGGTGCGCGGCTAACCCCTGGGCGAGTGTGCTTCAATCCATTGGCTACCTTTCTGATGGCCACTCTTAAAAGAACACGTCTTAACCGCTTTTATGCTAGAACTTATGCGGCGCTTCTATCGGGTCACCCCTTTTCCGCCGCGACCGAAACGCCTGATGAAATGCCACTTGAGGACAGCTGAGAAGAGTTATAGCGGCAGTGTTCGGATGGGTATGGGGTGTGCGATGGGAACTTTTTTCTACGTGAATGTAGCCGTGGGTCATCTAACACGGCGCTTCGCAATCGGATGGGAAATCCGCTGCAGCAGATGTTCATCACATGCGCATGCAAATTTGAGTTGACCTGTACATGCAGGGATGGTAATTTTTTTATTATGTCCCTCTGAGGGGAAACATGGGAGGAATAGCATATGAGACCCTTAAGACCTCGTCTTGTTGGCAGACAAATAAAAGGTGTTCATACGCCCGTGTAATTGCGCAAAAAAGGGATACTTTTTAGCGTAACAAAATTCCTCCGTTGGGGTCAAGGTGGCATAACGAAGGAGGCACACAGGTTGGCCCTGCTCGGCTATGCGAAGTACGTAGATTATGCAAGTACAACGAAGGCGGGGTGGAGAAATATGTTTTGTTCACTGGGCACAGGAAGTTGTAAGCGCGCATATCCACGTGGTGTAATTGGGATAGCTAAGAAGAAAAAAAGGCAACCATGAAAATTGCGCATTAAAATTGTACGCCAAAGGGTACGCCTCCAAATGCACGCGTCCAAATGTACCTCCACAAATGTACCCTCCATTTGTACGTTAAAAATAACGACCGAATTGACAGCCGAGTTAGCCCGAACCAGTGAACACTTCCTCTTCGAAATGAACGAAAGACCTTCACCCCACGCCCTACGTAAAACATAGCATAATATAACCAAAGAGAAAAACAAAAACAACAACGCCCCTCTCCCCCCGAAAAAAAAGAAAAAAAGGCGACTGTTGCATCCAATTCTGTGCCAACAGGAAACGAACTTTCAGCTTTGCTCATGCTTGCACGTGACCTGCGCCCCTTCCACCGTTCAACATATGGCATGAATATGAACATACGCGAAGGTATGACGTGTTTGTAAAACATGAATAAAAGCGAGTGAACAGGAAAAGTGGAAAAAGATCCTGCTTTTATCCGCATGCATATATCCATTTGAAGAAAGAAAAAAAAACAAAAAAGAAAAAAAACGCCCCTGCACGTAATGTGGCTATATAACCATGTTCGTTCTTTTCCCGCATTTGTATGTTTTTTCATTCCCTGTTTTGCTTTTCTGTTCCCATTTTGCTTTGCGCAGCATTTTTTTTTTAATAGAAAAAACAAACGCATGAATAGTACGTCAACATGTTGGCAGTACATTATGTCAATGTAGAAAGATTTCGTAATGTTATATTTTACTCATTTTGTTATTTTTTAAAATAGCAGAGAGAAACACGCGTGTTTAACTGATTTATGCATCACTTCGCTTTCACTTCGTTTTCACTGCGTTTCATTTTGTTCGTTTTGTTCATTTTTCTTCATTTTTACGAATACGTGAGAAATGAGCAATCGCCCATACTGTGGGTTTTTCACGCTGCTCGCAGAGTTTGACACGTACATGTAATGACTTCTTCGTTCTCTGCCCCCCACTTCTCACCGGAAGGTGTACGCGCCGCATATTTCTGTGCATAGGTTTCAACTAGCTTAAATGCGTCCACTGTATTTTCATTTGAGCGTGCTTATGCATTATGCGCGCGTGTATGCATTTACGTATGTTTGTGTATGATACGTTTATGCATATAAGGGCGTACGGATTTGCCTCCGCCCATACACTTGCGTGTCCACAGGGTCATACGGATGGACTTGCGGCTAGACGGACATATAGCGATACGGCGATAGGGCCATACGTCCATACGTTCACACGGGAAGACGTTCACGTATATCCACTTGCACATTGGAAATAAGACCCCATCGATACAACCCGCCCGGGCTTCCCTCACCCCTTTTTTTTTGTTTTATCT